TCCTGTAATAATCAATAAACAAGAAATATATGTCTTAAAGATCGAACAATAGCATTTGCTAATGCGTGTATGTTTAAAGAGTCCAGTCGTAAATATTGATTTGGGTTCATTTATTTAATTTCTTTTCGGTTCGTATCGTGCAATAATCTACAAACAAAGTGTTTGTTATTACCTTTATAAGAATCGTTATCATCTCAGAGTCAAACCAAATGCATGATTCAAATTTGCAACACAAATTGTATTGGAAATTCAAAATAAATATAAAAAGTATTTTTCTTTGATATAGGAATAGTTGATGGAAACTAAAAGAGTGTAAGAGCGAAGTGGAAAAAGATCAGGATTAATGATTGTTTTCAATTATTTGGACTAGGTAATCGAACAATTCTAAGGAATAGTTCTTTCGAAGTTCTCCGTCACATGTCTTTTGCCACAGGAGATAAGATCCGACCAATTAAAAATAATAATAATAATTCTAATCGTCTAGTAACAACAAAACAATTTTTACATAACATAACATTTTTGTATTGCTCAATCTTAGACAATAGCATCTAAGAAGATCTCAATACGCTGATGAAAATAATAAAATCAAAATATTACCTAAAATAAAAAAAATAAAAATTAAATTATTGAAAATTTTAATTAATTTACAATTTATATACGCTTATGACTTTGTGTCTGACGGAATAATAGGAATTTGGAATTTTAATTTAATTTGGCAGCTATTTAATATATATCATTTGATTTATATGGTGTTTGCTATCCATTTTTAAGTAACCTTTTAATTTAATATCAACAGAATGTGTCAGTTCTTAAGTTGTCGTTGAAATAGTTTGCTTATGTCGGGATCTGACCATTATAAAATAAGATATATCAGTCATATAAATAAACGGTCAAAAATGAAATTCCTTTATTCTTTCTCTTTTTTTTTCAAGATATCTTGATAAAACTCAGAATTTACGAGTCTTAACAAGTTCTTTATAAAATTGCAAAATCTGTCGAAGTACCATATAACCACAGCTCTATAAATACAATTGATAAAAATATAAGTTTTTGTGGGAAGAACATTTTTTTTTTTAGATTTCTTGACCATCCGTTTCAACATATCTGCAAAGTCGTATCAAAGTGGTTTATATCATGAGATTTATGGGAATAATCAGTTGGTATAAAGCCAAATGCATGATTTTTATTAAAGATTTATTATAATTATATTTTATTATAGTATTTAATCTACCGCCAGAGGCAGTTCCTTCGTGTTTTTATTTTATTTACTCCTTAGACTTGGCATATTAATTGTTGTCGAGTTTGGATTAAATTTACGGGGCAGGATAAACTCGCAGAGCGTGTTTGATTTTTTGTTTTGAATTTTTTATATTGTTTTTTGTTGTTGCTGCTGTTGATGATGACAACATGTCAAGCGAGGCATGCCGAGCCGTGTCCTTGAGCTGCTTTAAACTAGTTCAGCTCTGCGTAATGAAAATGCAGCCATGCATAACAAAACATGGGGCAAAGGCAACAGCAACATCAGAAACAACAACAACAGCACGTTTGTAGAGCATTACGTGTGCGTTGTTATTGTTCACGTCTTCGTTGCATGTTGCCACAGAATTCTAAGATGTCAGGCACCTCGACAAGAATCTTACTCTTGTGCTGTCCTACTCGCACGTCATCTCCCGCCGCCTGCCAGCCCACTCTCTCCCTCTCTCTTTCTTTCGACCTGCCATTTTGGTCTCAGGTTGCGCCTTTATGCATAATTATCTTAACTTTTGCTCCGGCTGTTGTTGTTGTTGTATTTTCTCTTTGTAGTTGTTGTTGTTGTTGTCCCTCAAAGGAGTTCAAAGCGCTGCCGAGTTGGGCTAAAAATGGCCCCAAGTGCTAATTTGCAATCGCTTGAAGTACGCTTACAGTTAGTTCTCATTTCATGTTCGTAGTTGAAGTTTTCCTTTAGGCTTTCATTAGCCACACGCCAGCGCACACAAGATATTTGCGATATACAGTAAAAAATCTGTTGAATGGACCTGGTTTCCTTATGTCCTGATACAGGTTGATGTCCACTTTTAAGAAACGTGAAAGAAATAAGAAAAACCTAAGAAAACGTGGAGAAAATCTATCCATTGGAGACTCGCTCGCTTTGCTGTTTTCCGTTATACCAAGCTTATAATTCTCAACATGTAAAGGCTTTCATGGAGAGACAAAGTGCTTGCAAAAATAAAGTCAGTAGAAGTGTTGTAGAATCAGGAGCTTCTATTTCGTTGATGCAATTTTCCTAAGAATTTTTATTTCTACGTAAAAGCGAAACAAAAGATGGGCATTACAAAAACTTGACCGGTCAAGGATATGTCGTTGCAAGAGAGCTCTCCGTTAATAGAGCTTTCACAGTGCAATTAACGCGTTGCATGCACTTAATTGGCGCACTTGAAGCTAGCCAATAGCCAAAACGCTCAGCTAGCCAAGAAGAACCCAAAAAAATAAAAATAAAAAAAAAACCTGCAAGACAAAAGAAAGCAATAAAGTTTTGCATAAATGACGAAATAAATGACAGCAAAGCAAAACAATTCTGGCAAATACAATAACAACGCAGAGGGGGAACGCTCGTTGTTCCTGCTGGGGTGTTTAGCTTGGGGTTGGGTGTTTATTGTGTGTGTGTGTGTTTCTCGGGTAGGTTAAATACGTTGTGCTCTGAGCTTTGCGGACTAAGCGTACTGGGAAATATAAAAGCTGACGGCCTCTTTGTTGTTGTTGTGGTTGTTGTTGCTGCTGCTGCTGGCTCTTGTTTATAGACTTTATGCGGGGGCGGCGGTGGCGGCGTCGTATAATTTGTTTCTACTTTAACCAAACTCAACCCCTGTCCCATGTCACAATGCCGCAAGTTGAAAAATTGTGCGCCTCAGCGGCGCTAACAACGCACACAAATAAACACAATTGCGTTTTGTTGTTGTTGAGTGAATACGCTACAGAATACCCTGTAATCTTTGTATCAATTAAGTTCATGTGTGCAAAGAGGCAGCAATATACAATTCCAATAAAAAAAAACTAAAAAGAAATTTTTAATAATCTTTGCGAAGCGTGAAAGAGAGAAGAAAGTGGGCGTGGCGCAATTACTTTTGGCTCAAACTGTCAAAGGAGCCATCTTTGGTCTACATTCCAAATTCGATGATGCGAGTAATAGAACTGTAGGAGAAATAGTATATACATAGTATATATCTAAACAACAATTGCGAAACTACCTACCTACATATGTATATACTTTATCTTACGGAATTCTTTTAATCCAGTAAAAATTCTTTTTTGCAAGCTATGCATATTCATTACCGCATACCCTATTATTTTTAGGTTTGCAAATGCCTTGTTAGTCATTTGAAGCTTAAACTCGTTACTAATTACAACGCGTAAAGCAACAAAATTGTGTTAACCATTTGCCATTTATCACACAGGGCATCTCATAGTTCGGCAAATTCCATTTTTAATCATTCTCCGTGTGGGGCATGTTCATTGACAAATACATCAGCAAAACTAAACAATTTTTACATTTCGCTGTTTTTGGCTGTGCAATGCAAATAACCAAAATGCTGAACAGCAACAGTAAAAACAACAACATTGTGACGCCGCTTATTGCCATTGGCAAAAATATTGGCAAAACATTTGCTGCCAACCGCGAGAGGGCGCGGGATGCGCCCGCCTGCCCACACATTGCACTTGAACTTGCCACAGAAACCGCCAAACGACGCCGCGACGACGTCCTCCGCGACGCAACGTAAATTATATAATGCAACAACAAAAATCAGATACAACACAAAATGCAAGCAACATCAAAAATAAATAAAACAAATGTAACGACCTCGAGAGCAAGCAACAACAACAATAAAAAGAACAACGCAACAAATTTAAAAATAATTTCTCAAAGAGAACGCGGAAAAAAGCGGATCAAGAGCAAGAAATGGCGGCCATGCGTTAGCGTCAGCTGCGGCGTCGGCGTCGCCGCTATCGTTAGCAGCGTCATTGAAATTATGCAAAGCGAAAAATTGCCGGACGCATCGTGTGTGTGCATGTGCATACACATGCAAATTATTATTTGGCAGCTCCCCCTGCTGACTGCATGCTAAATGCCGCTTCAATGTGTATTTTGTGTCTTAAAATTTGAGCTTACGGCACGCATTAAAATTACAGCCGTATTTGTTGTTGTTGTTATTTCTGCCGTGTAGCCTTTTTATAGACTTGTGTGGGCCCCCTCCCCGGCTAATGTGTTGAAGAGTAAAAGAATGCCAATGCCAATCGATTTTCGTTGTAAGGTTGCGGGGATTAATCGAAAAACGTGCTTGAAACACGTTCCTTAAAATATTAGTCAAAAGCAAGGTATGTACAAGTAAGGGCGATAAGTGCTAATAAAAGTCCGTTAATAATGGAGGAAAAAGGTAGGTAGTGACAGCGCGAAGTTTATTTCCTCGTAGCCAACAGCAACAAAAACTACAACACACCCGCACCGCATGTATAGACATTCGGTTCTGTCTGTCTGTGGCTGCGGGCAAATCCACCACCCAAAATCTCAACTGAGCTGCTGATGCTGATGCCACACAAAGCTGCATTGTAACAAAATTCCGCAACTTACCTGCGACGACGATTGCGACCGCAGTTGCTCCGGTTGCTTCTTTCCTGCCGTTCGCTTTAGCCAATCTAATTATCGTTTGCAGCACTTAAGTTTTGTGTTTTGGCAATCGTTAAAGCTAATGTTCTATATATTGGATTTTTTTTTTATTTTTTTCAGTGTTTCACACACTGGCACGGACACATTCACTCACACGCACACACACACACACACACTAGCACGCACATGCAGCGGCACAGACGCGAATAACCGTTAGCAATTAACAGCAGGCACCGTGCACCTCGAGTTCCGAGCATCGACTGCTCGAACGGCTCTGCAGGAATATACTAGTGGGGAAGCCAGCTCTACGTCGCTGAGCGAAGAGCGCGCATGCGCTTCGCATTTCAATTTCTTATCACTGAAACCGCAAATGTTACTGTCAAACTAACGGAATTTACGCGCTTTTGTGTACGTTCGTCGCGCTGTTTGTAAGCGTATTGATTTTTTGACTCACTCCTCAATGATATGTTTAAAAAGGCCGGCGCTATTTATTTGCGTGAGTTTTCAATTTGCACTCAATGCGCCGCACTCAAGAGCATCTAAAAAAATACTACTTTCAGTCAGAAAATAACACTAATTTAAATAAAAACCTACGCGGCCTCTTTGTGTTAGCTGTTCGCTTGCGTTTGTAACGCTTGCGAGGGCTGCACTAACGAACAAGCCGTTTAGTAGCCTCTTGTTCGCTGAACTAGCTCGATAACATATGTTGGCTGACTGACTGTTCTCACTCTTTATATTGCAATTCAAAAAGTAACATTTTACTGAGTTCTTCATATGTTTGAGCATTCAATGAAATGCACTTTATACTAATTCAAAATTGACGTTAGAGATGTAAGAGGAAAAATACGTGAACCGTATTATTTTTATTGACTACGGTGTGAGAGATTCTTGAGTACCCTGAACCATAACAAAATTCGAGGGCTGCATAGGCACTGCAATGTTTACTATATTTGTGGATTGTATAATTAACTTAACAGCATGCTAAGAGCTTAGACATATTTTAAAATTTCTAACCATGCTCACAACATAAGATCCGCAAAATTTAATTTTAAAAATTCTAATTAATGTTAATAAAATGGTTAAACACACGTCCAATTCCCTTTTAAATTCAGTCAAAAGCAGCTCTTCGCGCGAAGCAGTTGAATTTCCAGCTTATTTTTGGACAATATTCCAATCCAAACAGTATTTTATTCGAACAACACAGTGCATATACTGAAGGAAAGTAACTATCGCAAAGTTATATTTACTTTTGCTGAGATATAACCTCTTTATGTTTTTCACAGGATGATCTTAGACATATAACTACATTTGTACTGCATCTATGATACTATTGCTATTTTGGTCAGGACTAGCTCTTGATTTATTTAAGAAGCTGGTTATTTAAAAGAAATAAAATATTTATTGTATTCGTTGTATTTATGCTTTCTAAGAATCTCTTAAAAGGCTTTACTTTAAACAAATATTTGATATATATATTATGCCTAAATTATTAGTAAAAGATTGCGCGACTTCTTAGAATAGATAATAATTAATGTATATATATCGCTTAATTTAAAAAACCCGGATCTAGTATAGAAGAAAATTTCTGTTATATAGTATAACTGATAGCACCAATTCAATTTAATTAAAGTTAAGCTTTTAATTTTATTTTTTCAGTTGAGTTTTATTTTATATACAAATTGTCAATCAATTGTAAATATTTAAGTTTAAGCACGGTTTTGCTTACATTCGCTGATTTACTCTCGATAGTCTATCGATATTAACAGTGTCGCTCAGTGGCGCACATTTAATAAGCACTACTCATCGACTGGCCGCCATAATAAATCGTCGATAGATCTTACAGCACTATCGACTAGTACATATTGTTTTTGCTCGGAGTAGTTAATACAACTGTTTTCCTTTTCATATTTGGCATCAGGTTGTGCAATTTTGTCTGTTCCTTTTGGTGTTATTAGCAACGCGTTTTGTGTTTATTGTGCGTTTCGTTTTGCCTTGTGTTTTAACTGTGCAATATTAGTGCACTTCACAATGCGAGCGCTGCGCAAATCAAAAAAGTCGCATTCGTGTGTGTGAAAATTCAATACAAATTGCAAAAAGCAAGCGACAACCGAGTAGCAGCAGCAGCGCAAAAGTGAAAAATGTGCTTGGTGGAGCATGCGGAAAATAAGCATAAGCTCTCGACCACAAACACACTAAAACAACAAACAACACGGTCGTCTTCCCTAGCATTTTGCTCCAAAACCAATACTGGCGTCCTCGATATAAGCACGCAACACCAACAACTACAACAACAACATCAACATCAGAGCCTGCTTTGTAACAGCACAACGCCCACATTTAACGCCAAATATAGGCGAAAATGCTTACTGCTGCTGTCGCTGCTGCTATTTCATGGCTGCTTCAGCGGCTTACATAGCGCCAGCGCCTACAATTGCACTACAAATCCTTGCCAGAACGATGGCCAGTGCCTGGATGGGCAGTGCATCTGCGCCGAAGGCTGGCAGGGACCTGCCTGTCAGTTCTGTGGCGGAAAAGTGCGGTAAGTATCAGATACCCCCCGACCCCGCGCACCCTCACATCGGGCCAATTTAGTTATCGTTGTTGCCGTATGATTCACGACAACAACAACAATGACCACACACAAATCAACGCTAAAATGTATTATTCAATCAGCTTTGCACTCTTTTTTTGTGGTCGATTTGTGTCAAGCAACGGTTTAGTTTTTGAGCTGCTGCCCATTCTCGTTAGACGGGTTCCAGTTGCTGTCTCCAGTTCTCTTTTCTTTTCTTGTTATACCCAGCAAATGGGTGGAGATGGGTATATTGGTTCTGTACATGTATGTAACAGGCGACTTCGTATAGTATACCGAGTGGGGTCTGCAAAACAAGTTCATCTCTTAAATCGATAAATATTTTTATAATTGCATTTTATAAGCTAGCTGCTTAAAATTCTAAATATATATTTTACACAATAATTTTTTGTTAATTTTTCTCAGCTTATAATAATTGGGTTATAATACATAGTTTGTTAAACAACATTTACAGACCACAAATATTTTACCTTTTTAATATTTGATTTATATTTTTGCATTTGAATGCCACTTTTAGGCCTTGATAATTTAATAATGGTCGATCAATAAACACTGTGTTGTTAGTAGTAGTGGCCACAGGGTATTTCCCAGTCGATTATCCTTGACTGGCGCACTCTTCTTTTTTTGTTGTTTTCTTCGCCTTTCCCCATTTCATTCTTTCGTTTAACTGGGTGCTTTCTACGCGTTTACGCCCATTTTCTCACTCTCTCGCTTGCTCGTCCCCTCTTCCCTACCTCGTTTGTTTCCAATCAGAGTGCATGCTTTAATTACCTGACACTTGGCTTTGAACCTGCCTCCTACTCCGGCCAAAGCTCGCCAAGCACAACTCAACTTATATTCTAATCAGAGAAGTTTGCAAGCGCACATCATAAAGCTCATAAGACGCACTGTTTATATTTCTTAATAACGGGTATTTGTTCAGCGTGCGCTCGATAAGGGCAATCTCTATCTTGACAGCACCGTATTTAACTGGAGAACGCTCGCTCTGCTTGCCCGCCACTCTGCCCCACTGGCTGCACCACTCGAATGGTTTGCTCGGGTCGCTGAGTGGGTGTGCGGTTCCGTTAAATTGTTATACTCTTGGGGGGAGTAATATATATATTCAAAATTGTGTGACGCTTTAAAGATAAAATTTCCAAAACCCATTTGCTATACATATATACATGCATATATATATATTCTTGATCAAGACAAAAACTTAAAAAGTACAAGAATTCTCATGATAAAAACCTTTGTTTAACCGACTACTATTCCATAAAGCTCCCATAGGAACAATCGTTTGAGCTCTGAGTTTCTTCATGAATGTGCTTAAGATTAGCAATATCTGCAATGGGTATTTAAACTTTCGCATCTGCTTTGTCATCGAAACAAAAAGAAGAGACTTTAAGCATAATATTTTTTTATCTTAAGACTATTCTGACTTTTTGCGACTCAGCAAAATATTGTTTTTATTGATGGATGAGTGCGTGCCAAGTAGTTAATTATAAAATAAGAGTATTGCGCAGTCGATCACATGGTAACAGCGCCAATTGCCATTCGGAAAGTTACGAGTCGTTGCGTTGCCTTGGAGCTCTTGTAGAGGGTATTATGAGTTTTTCATGAAATATATAAGGCATAGGAGACATCTTCGACCTCATTAAGTATATATTCAGTATCAGTATCAGTAAGTTGATGAAGATATTTTGACTAAACTTGGCATATATGTATTAGATTTACTGTGGTCCCTATATATAAGCCATATCTAATCAATATCCGACTACTATATCATAAACCTTTATAGGAAACATCGATGGAAATATACATTTTTGTATTAAAAAATGTTGCTTTTCAAGATATTTTTACCAAAATCAGCAATTACAAGCTTGACGATTCTATTCACACAGCTGCAAAATCCTACAAGAGTATTTAATCTTCGACTTGTCGAAAATAGTCGTTCTATCTGGTTTTTGCAGTCTTTATTGACCGATTGCCAATGTTACGATATTGGTGAGAGAGACTCCCTATAGGTACACACATCTACACATACATATATATACACCTATATATATTTAGTTTTACGATTTACAGCTGATATGCCGTAGCCCCATTTTGGCCAAGCTTATCAGCAGCAATAGGCGTTCACTTATCACGTTCTCATTTTGCCCCATCAACCCGTCAACACGTTAACTGCACCTGTCTCTCTGTTCGTTTTATAATTCCCTATTTATATGGGGTTTTGTCATCGGAATGAACACAATTCTTTGCCAAACATGGACGGGCTAGTCAGATAGTTACCATATGAGGATAAGCTAGATCAGTAGAAACTTGGCAATTGTTTACGATTAGAGAAAGCAGCGCCTAAAATTGGAGAATGAACCCAGCAACTTTCCTAGGGAGTGACAAGCACTGGACAATGTCAATTTGTATACCCTGAACATGGCTTAAAATATTATAATATTTTTGTGCAAATGCATGTGACAGGCAGAAGGAATCATCCTAGTCCCTATGTAGGTATATTCTTGAGCAACTAAGATCTGTTGCCCCATCTTCTTCGGTCGTCGATCTCATAGACTATAGGAGTTACAGAATATATACTCTCGTACATCACACGCAGCGCGGGTTTCGATATGCTCTATATCCTCATACGCATGGTTCTTTTAATCAGGTTTTTAACCATTTTAAGAGTTTGTTACACCAAATTTGGTGTGAAGGTTCTCGTAAAAAATGTACAGCTTTAAATTATTTTACATTTCAGATACCTCCCCCAAAAATCGAAAGAACTCGTTTTTTAAGATGTTCTTGCGCTTTAGTGTGTACACACTTATGTATGCCATATTTAAGCCCTGAAAATAACAGCGAAATCGGCAGCTCAACACTCGTTTTAGAGTATCCCTTAGTCGCGTACTCCCAACTAGAGCAATGTTACTTGTTATTATTATAATTTAAGATATTTAGTTGACAAGTAGATATTAGAAAATTGTTTCTGTCGTACAAAAATAATTAATTATTGTGCTTTGTAAATAAATACACTTCAACGAGTCTCAAGTATTTTACTCGAACTCCCCGTCATCGCTTCGCCAACTCCAAATATTCTGCACTTGCACCAGTTGCGAATTATAAGCGCAGACAATGCAAATTTTGCGTTGAGCTTCGAGTAGTTCGTCTGTTTATTTTTCTGTCGCTATTAGATTTTGTCGCTTTTTAGCGAATATTATGTTGCTAAGACTCAGGTACCGCTGCTTGTTTTGATAGCAGGCAGATTATATATACCAGCTAGAAACATTATATCAGCATCGTATCAACATAGATATCATCCTCAGATGATTGTCATTTATATAACAAAAGCGCTTTTGTATTTGTTAACTCTGTGTATACCACTTTATCACTTGACAAACAAGAGTTGCTCTTAAAAAGGAACCCTTTTTCAGAGTCTTTATGATGAAATATTTACATAATTTTCTGTTTTTATATAAATTACAAGTTAAACAAAGTTCACCTTTGAGAGGCGTATTTTCAAGAAAAGCTAAACATTGAAAGAGTTTTTTCTTTTATAATTTAATAAATTATACAGCACCAAATTTTTTAATTTGAAGAGTTTGCATCTTATTTCAATTGTGAATACTTGAAAGGGTCACAGTAGAATTTATAAATATTTTTTTTTAAACACATTCAGTGACTCTTTTTTGTACAAAAACCTGATTTTTGACAACATGTCATATATGCGAATATATAAAAAAAACTTCCTACAATATATTTCAATTTAAACAAAATCTATTATCGTTTAACGTTCTCTTCGATGCCTAAACTAAGCTCAGATTACGTATTATATGAACCGAACCTCGAGCATATTATGAAGGCAAAAATATGTCATGTCACGTAAAGTATACTATTTTTGGCTTGTTTAAGAGAAAATTATAATTGCGAATACGATATGGGCAAATGCGCATTTAAAATTCTACGTAGTGTTTCTATAATAATCGTAATAATAATATTAACAATAATAATTTCTTATATTGAAAACTAGCGAGTCTTATTTAGTCTTATCTCTAAATTTAGTGATTACTTTTCCACCCAGTACCCATGATACAGAAATGTATCATTGTTTAAGTATATTTGAGTGTGCGTTTGAGGTCGAAAGTGTCTGGAAATAAAATTGCAGCCGTTCAGACGAAACTTGCTTTAAGGCCCATAAAACCCTTGACCCCCTTTTCCGCCTAATACGGGTGGATTATCCGAAAAGTGTGAAACACCGCTTAAATTAACTTGTGCATGCCAAAGTGCAAGGGTTTACCTTTTAAAATTAGTTATTGTTTAGTGTATCTAGCTATTATTAACTTAAATATATTTTTTTTTAATTATGTAGTTAAACCTTTATTTTTCGATATTATAAAAATGAGAGAAGATATATATTAAATTTCAAGGCTCTAGATTCCGAAATGAACGCGTTCACACAGGCAGACGGATATAGCTAGATCCACTCAGCTTGTCGCCCTGATCAAGAATATATAGGCAAAACATTTCAAACATTTTCAGAGTGTAAAAAGTTTCATACAATTGTTTTCCGCGATTGTTCCACAAATGCGGGTGAAATTTCCAAAAACTTTTACTTAGAGTTCACTTACATCATATAAGCCATAAAGTTCAGCTTTCTGTTTGTGCGTTGATCTGTCCGTCAGGACAAACAGTTTTATATATAAACATAGAGTAATCTTGAAAATTTATTTTGAAACGTAATACACTATTGTCAGCGTATTTCATGGGGCATCTATTGGGCTAGCTGTTCACTTGAAGTAGAGAAAAACTCGTAAAGTCAGAAAGCAGGGGCTGGTGGGGGCCATGAGTTTCTCTGTATATACTTATGTATGTATATGTATTGACTTGCCACAGTTAATTGTTTTCAAGTTGAAAAGTAAACAGCGCCAAGTAACAAGCACATCTTGTGCTGTATATATCGATGTCTCCGTTGGGGCAAGTTGTTGACAAATGAAAAGAAAGCAGTTATTTTTAAATGGATATGGACTGACGGATGGACGTGCCACTATAATAACAAATGACAAAGAGCTTTGCCGCGGCTGCAAATGCGGCAGTTGCGGTGCTTCTGCCTGCTGCTGCTGCAGCACATGCCCCACGTTCCATGCGCTTTCCTCAAAGCTTCTACATGCCACATGCCCAGATTCTCATTGTATGCATCAATTGAATCAAGCTTGCATTTGCGTTGGCTGGCAAATTCAATTATCTTGGCAGTGGCAGCCGCAGCGGGATCGGTAGCGGGCGCGGGCATCTGGCCACAATTTACATATGTAATTGTGAGCCTGAATTGAAGCCAAGTGATGCCACATCAAAAGCTGACGAAATTCGATTTATTTCAGCACATTTTCTCACTCTCTACTCTCTCTTTCGTATCTACATTTATATAGGATGTACCATCCCATGGGCACCATACACGATGGCTGGGGCAACTATTCGGTGAGCGTCAAATGCAGCTGGTTAATTGATGCACATCATCCCCACTGGGGTCGCCGTCACAATTCGAACCCGTCGCGTGCCGCCAATATACGCATTCATCTGCGTGAATTTGCCACAGAATGCGGCTGGGATCATTTGTATATATACGATGGCGATAGCGTTGATTCGCCGCTACTCGCGGTCTTCAGGTAAGTCCACACTGCAACTTGCCACACTTGAAACTCTTAGCTAATCTCTCTCATCTTCTCTTTGTCATGCTTTTCGCAGCGGCCTCATGTACCGGGGCAACTTTTCCATACGCCGTGTGCCGCAGGTCATCGCTAGATCGGGCACAGCGCTCCTCCATTTCTTCAGCGACGATGCATACAACATGTCCGGCTTCAATCTGACGTACAAAATGAACGGGTGTCCCACGGATAGTGATGGTAAGTGAAGGGGGGAGGGGGGGGGACTTCATTTACTTAAAACAAATAGGATGTGTCTGAGAAGTTGATAAAATTACGTTTGATTCCTCTACAGAGGCTCTTGTGATTTTCCAAGACTACATTTTGTATATAATAACTGAGCAACTAGTCCAACCCAGAACTCTCACTAAAGATGGTTGAACATAAAGATGTTCTATAACACTTAAAGCTCCTTTTGAAGTTCCCGTATTATAGAAATATTATGTATAATTAACTTTTAAATAGGTGGATAATATGATAGTTCTCATAGTTCCTTTAAGTTCCCCTTATTTCCGTTTGACTCTAATAAATCTAGTAATATAAGGAATAGGCGAAACTTAAGCAACTAGTCTAGAAAAACCTGAAAAAATTGGAAAGTCGCGGAAGTCTTTATCAAAGATCCTGTAAAATTTTGATAGTTTCTAAAGATTCTAAAATGAGTAAAACGGGATATGTCCTGGATACAGGTTTCTTAAATTTCAAATGATTCGATTTGATATAAGCAAAAATAACTGTTTTTCAAAACAATTTCAGGAAAATGTAAAATTCCATGGAAATTGTGAAATTCCAATTATTATGCTTAAGTATATTTTTCCTTGTTATTTTATTTAGTCTTCAGGGTTTTCCACATACCCTAAATTATCTTATAATGCCGAGTGATTCCCAAATAATTCTTATTGTACTGCAAACTAAATGCATGGCATGAAAGTTGATAGAGTAAATTGCGCCTCTAATAGGCTACTAAAGATAAGACTGTAGAGGGAGAACGTTAAATAAATACTAATAACTAGAAGAACAATGTTCACTCGCGATAAATTATAAATTGCGGAAGAACTTCATTTCCTAAAACCCTCTTTTGGCAAATAAAAAAATAAATAAATAAAATTAAATTGATAAGAGATTTAAATTATTTTTAAGGCCATTCTATATAGTCTTTGTTTTTTAATTTTTATTTAAATTATTTATTTATTATATAATTTATTTGAATTTAAACTAATCGTTCTTCCCTACTACACATAGATGTGGAGTGCTCCGGCCATGGAACGTGCAGTGATGGTGACTGCCTGTGCGATCCCATGTACAGAGGGGAGGCCTGCAATGTGGCCGCCTGTCCGAATAACTGCTCAGAGGCGCGGGGTTACGGCATTTGCAAGATAGAGCAGGAGCGGTAAATATCGAAATCCTAATCAAAAAGACAAAATAAAAACTATTATTTTTAATATTTTTTAGCTGTGAATGCAATGATGGTTATGGCGGCGACGATTGCAGCCAGCTGCGGGCACACGGCGTTTGGAGTACGGTACATCCGAAGCACTCGGTGGCGCCATCGGGCAGCGCATCACACGGCGCCGCAGTTTGGCGTGACACACTGCACATCATTGGTGGCGAATCGTATGGGCGTGGCGAGCTAATGAGCACCTACGATTTCAATGGCAATGTGTGGGAGACAATGCATCCGGAGGATGGCAGTGCCACGCCCGAGAAACGCTATGGCGCCTCCACAGTGATGTATGGCGATAAGATATTCATGTACGGCGGCGTCATTAAATCTCAGGGCATTACCAACGAGCTGTGGGCGTTCGATGTGTCCGCCAAAACGTGGGAGAACATCACCGTCAAGACGGACACATGCAACAGCACGTATTTCATGTGCGGGCCCCTGCGTGTGGCGGGGCATACGGCGACTCTGGTGCCAGGTTTCGGGGATAAAAACAATTATCAGTATATGGTGGTAATATTTGGGCATTCGCCACAGTATGGCTATCTCAATACCGTACAGGAATTCAACTTTGCCACACGCGAATGGAAGATCGTCCAGACCTACGGCTATGTGGTTAAGGGTGGCTACGGGCACAGCGCAGCCTACGATCTGCTGACCGAAAAGCTTTATATTTATGGCGGCATTGTGTCCGAGAGTGATGCCAGCCAGGTTTTGAGCTCCCGTCTGTTTGCCTACGAGCCGTCAACGCGCATCTGGACACTATTGTCGTCGGCGCCCAGTGCACGGCTGCTGCATACGGCCAACTTTGTCAATCCCGGTCTGATGATGGTCTTTGGCGGTAACACGCACAACGACACCTCGCAAAGCTATGGCGCCAAGTGCTACAGTCAGGATTTACTCATCTACGATGTCTATTGCGATTCGTGGCATATGCATGTAATGCCCGCACATCTGCAGGCGGATCTGGCTCGGTTTGGCCACAGCTCGGTGGTGTTTGAGGATGCGCTTTACATATTTGGCGGCTTTAATGGCCAGCTGCTGAACGATATGCTGCGCTATGAGGCCGGACAGTGCAGTTTCTATACCAAGCAGGAGAAATGCACCAGCGCCCGACCCGGCGTCAAGTGCATTTGGGATGTACAGCTGATGCGCTGCATCAACATAATGCGCGTACAACGCTTGGCCATTTATGGACGGGAGCAGTACGATTATGTGGCCTGCCCGTCAAAGAGCCGAAATACCATGACCTCGGAGCATCTACATCATGTACTACGCTGCCAGGAGATAAACACCTGTCATTCGTGTGTTTCGACCGTCTTTGACTGCACCTATTGCGGCAACGGTGTGTGCAGCAAGGAGCGCTGCCGTGAGACCACCTCGGTGGCATCCATATTCTTTACGGACTCTTCAATCTCCACACAGCATGGTCGTCAGCAGCCGGCTATAACGGTGCCGCCGCCACTGAACGTCAAGCGACTGGAAAGCTGCCCCGCTACCGAGGATAGTCTGGTGCAATCCAAATGCGAGCAGCTGCACAGCTGCCGCGCCTGCATGGCGAATGCGGCATGCAAATGGGATGCGGAACCGAATCGCTGCCGCAGTCACATATCCGCCTCGGGCACACCCTACAATCGCAGCAGCCACGACGAGAGCCTATGCCGGCCAACGTGCTCCACACAAACGAATTGTCACAATTGCACGGAGGATGAGTGCATCTGGTGCCAGAACGAACAGCGCTGCGTCGATCGGAATGCGTATACGGCCAGCTTCCCATATGGCCAGTGCCGTGAATGGACAACTTTTACGTCCAAATGCCGCTCGGCGCCAATAACAGCGCTGAGCGTGGGCAGCACCACAGCGCTGTCGAGTGCACAGTGCGGCTACTATAATAGCTGCCAGCAGTGCTTGGATGATCCGGCGTGCGGCTGGTGCGACAACGGCTCCAACACCGGCTTGGGCAAATGTGTTGTTGGCGGCGCGTTGTCGCCGTACGATCAGACCGAGTGTGCATTGAAACACTGGTTCTTTACGTCATGTCCACGCTGCAATTGCAATGGACATTCGTCTTGCAATGATCAGGAGCACTGCGAGCAGCCGTGCAGCAATCTAACGATCGGTGCACACTGCGAGAAATGCCGCACTGGATACTGGGGCAATGCGATCAATGGCGGTGAATGCCAGCGCTGCGAGTGCAATAATCAGGGCGACTATTGTCATCCGGATACGGGGAAATGCTATTGCAACACCAAGGGCATTGTGGGTGATCATTGCGAGAAATGCGATTCACAGAATCATTATATTGGTGACCCGTTGCGCGGCTCCTGCTATTATGAGCTAACCATTGACTATCAATTCACATTCAATTTGTCCAAGAAGGAGGATCGTCATTTTACGCAAATCAATTTTCGTAATTCGCCGGCGAAGCCGGAAATTGATGCGGACTTTACCATTACGTGCAGTGTGCCAGCCAAAATGGACATTTCGGTGAAGCGTGCCGGCTTCCCGGAACGCCTTATTTTGGTGGGCATCAACTGTTCGACGTTCCGGCATCGTTTCGCCAAAACCGAATATCCCTTTGGTCAATCCGCAGATGACAATAGTTCGCTGACAACGTTCTATGTGTTTGTGCATGACTTTCAGCCGCCCATTTGGATACAGATTGCCTTCTCGCAATATCCCAAGCTCAATCTACAGCAGTTCTTCATTACCTTCTCCTCCTGTTTTCTGCTGCTCCTCCTCATGGCCGCGGTGCTATGGAAAATCAAGCAGAAGTATGACATGTTCCGGCGACGTCAGCGTCTGTTTGTCGAAATGGAGCAAATGGCCAGCCGGCCATTCTCACAGGTACATATACCCTAGGATTACTTCTTACTTTTGCTCTATACTAATCCTTGGGTGATTGCTCCACAGGTTTTGGTTGACATTGAACCCCGCGATACAATTGATTTGAGCCTGACGCTGGGGGGCGTCAGCAACATGTCCAAGAAACGTAAAAAGGTGAGTAAGCGGCAAGACACGAAGAGAGCGCTTTTGATATGTTAAATGTTTAACTCTTTTACAGGAGTGTCCCAGTCCCATTGCCCTGGAGCCCTGCAATGGCAATCGAGCCGCAGTGCTCTCGCTTCTAGTCCGGCTGCCCACGGGTGCGTATATCTTATATACTATATACCTACCTTGGACCTCCTGGCTCTATATTTATTATTACAATATAAATCTATTTTTTGCCTATAGGGCGAGTTTTGGTATACGTTTACCCATTTGACATGGGTATAAAGGCTATAATGTTTTTGTGCAAATGTACCCAACAAGGCGCAGAATGCATCGCCGACATATACATACATAAATTCCTGATCAGAATGTCGAACTTAGTCGATTCGTTCGTCCGTTTGTGTGATCGCGACGATCTCAGAAATTACAAAAGCTAGAGCCTTTATATATGAACTATATATTCTCCTATACCATACGCAGAAAAATTGTATCATTTGTTTTCGATACTTCTGCCCACTTACATAATATAGACAAATATCGTTTTTGAGACACGGACATTTTAAGACCAAGCTTGATAAGTAGGTTTCGTAGATTATACATAGATTATAGATATTTATTTATTGGATACGTCCCTTTATATCTCGAAAAACTAGAAGAAAAAAATCGCTTTCGCTTTGCTATAAACAGTATGCCATATTTAAGCTCGAAGATTTTACTAAGATAAAACTATGACAAGTAAGAGGCTCTAGTTGGGAGTTCCCGTGTTTTAGCAGTAATAAAAATAAATTAATGGTTATAAAATTAAAGATATTTTATATATAAGTATATACTATTTAAGAAGCTACACAGCTAAACAGGATTTCGATGTCGATTTTTATTGATTGATTGGAAACGGGGCAAATTATCGATTGTCGGAAACAAACTCGTACTGCGCATGTGCAAGGAGGACACACATTCCAAATTTCAAGTCTCTAGCTTTTATAGGTTCTGAGATTCTTGCATTTATACATACGGACAGACGGTTATGGCTAGATCGACTCGGCGTTTGAATCTGATCAAGAAAATATATGTACTTTTTGGTTTCGGAGATGCTTCCTTCTGCCTGTTGCATACATTTGCACAAATACATTATACCCGTTTTTACCCAATTTTAATGGGTTCAGGGTATAAAAACCGAAGTTAATCAAGAAGCTCCTATACATAGTGTGGGTTAATGAAAAGAAGAAAAATATATATGTAGAAGAAAGCTACAATGCATGTAAGGCAAGCATCGTGCTGGGTTCAGCTAGTCAGCCAGAAGGACTCTTAAATTCCTGCTTGGGTATTGCATGGATCATCAGGCAGCAGCAGTATATGTAAAAAATATATAGTATAGACTAATTTATGTTTTCTTCTGTATTCCACAGGTGGCCTATCGCACGCGCCTGCCGGTCAAGCGGCAGGACTGGCCGTGGCGAGCGCTTTAGTCACGCTTGGGAATCCGCGTCGGCCGTCAGTCGAGCAGCATCCCAAGGAGCCAAAACCGAAACGCAAGCAGAGCCAGCATCCAGACAGTTGTACATAATGAAATACAGTTTACACGCGATAATAATTATGATGATGATGATGGATGATAGTGTGTACAATTAGATGATAGAACCCTAGCGAATATGCTCCAGATTTTCTTTATCTATATAACACACACACAAACACACACGCGCAGCTAGTAAGTTGATAATCCGCAGCTATTAATACTTTAATGCAATTAGTCTAATAAACCCTTAAATGAGCGATACGAGAGTACGATGCAAATAATAATAATAATAATATTAAAATTATAATAATTAAATGATTATTAATAATAACATGATAATTTTTAGCAAAAGGACATATTTATATACGAGTTATATACAATTTGATATAGTTGATAGGTCGTCTGTAGCGTTGCAATTAGTTGTAAATGTTTTATTTATTATTTATACAGTAAAATGAAAACTAATTTTTAGCAGCTACAGCTTCAATTTTTATTTTATATATAAATATGGCTTAAGTGTGTTGTTAGAATTTATTTATGCAATTAATTATGTGTTTTTTTATTGCGTTTTTGCTAGTTACCACAAAAAAAGACATTTTATTCATTTTAGCAAAAGCCGTAAAGAAAAGTGATCTTTTAACACATTTGAGAAAACAAAAACAAATTGATGAATGTGTGCAAAAATCTGCTTAATACTGTGTTCATACAAAATAACAATACACTCAACAACAAAAAAAGAAAGAAAAAACAACAACAAATAAATAAAAGTATTTTGTTTCTGTGCAAATATTTACAACAAAGAGCAAAGAACGAACAAGAGCATGAACATGTGTCTGTAAATATATACCATAAATAAATATATATACATATATTCTATACGTAAATTATGCAGCCTATATATGTATAGTACATAGAGCAAAACGCGCCCAAAACAAATCAGTTATGTAATTTAGTGTATGCAACAAAATTGTATTAATAAATATAAATAAAAAATTACAAAATTTTCCTTTGAACAACATGAAAAACTCAAATTAAGCCTAAGGTTTCCACTTGGATAACAAATTTGAACAGCAACAACAATGAATGCACCTTGTAACTAGAAACAACAATGAAACAGAATCAAACGGCACTTGTCAACCACTTTTAATATATATATATATGCTAAAATATGTTAAACAAAAAAAAAAAATACTTCAGGCTAGACCAGCTAATTGTATAGTTCAAGTCTGCAAGAGATGAAACGTTTTAAATTCGAATTTCGAATTGTAAAATGCGTTTTCGTTAATTTTCGTAATCGTATTTACTTGCCAGCCAATCTACCCCTCCACTACACCCACACACACACAGAGCGTAATGTAAAGTTAATAAATTAGAAACTCAAATCAAGACTTGTTTGTTCTCCTAGAGTTTTAAATACATATTCTTTGACAGCGACACAAACCTAGATAAAAGTCATTAATAAATATATAAATATATATATACATATTAGTTTATTATAAACGAAATAAAACACTGAACAGAATGATGCAATGCAAAGGGCTTTTAATATCGTTTATAAATTGGGATTTTTATACCCTGTTTCTCAGCTGGGCGTGTGTACAAAACTCGTTAGCATCGTTTTAATATTGACCGACTTGGAGACAGAGCTGCCTTATAAAACCAGCGAACAGAACTTTCACTTTCACCCAGCGAAGACGTCACACAAGTTGGAAGCCGGCAGCTGAATGTTTGTGGGCGTGGCACGTTTGAGGCCTGGCCTTTTTACCAAGTAAGTCATCAAGTTGGTCACAAATTGAAAACGTTCAGTTCAAGAAAATGTCTCAAAATGTGCCTGAAGTGGCAGCCCAACAAATTTGTTGCAATAAATTCCAAACTATTCGGATAGATATATTCTTAAAGGCATAAGATATTATAGAAAACATAGTTGCCTTTGTGAATATATAATTAAAAGTGGTTTCAAATATCATGAAGTAGAAATGTTTGAAATTTATAGCTTAGAAGTCTAAACTACCCGGGATTGTCAGGCTAAAAGTTAATAATGTTGAAAATTCAAGTGGTGACGAATTTGTTTTTGGAATATTCGATAATTAATTAATTTATACAAAAAACATTATACTATAAAACAATATGTTAAAAAACTAATATTTTACTTCACAGGGGCTCGAAAACTAAACTTCATGCTTGGTGTGCGCGCAGGCCCATTTAATTTGCATTTTTTTCAAAAAATATTTCGGCTGTTCGTACCTTAGTGAGGAAAATGGTTATTAAAAAAGTGGAATACCGAGCTGAAGTTCGTATTGCAGTCTTGACTAAATAACCAGCAATTTTCGCAATCTTATTTATATACTTGTCGGCTTAAAATATTATTTACACAACATTTTGAGAAATCAAATCAATATCAAAATGTGTGTTCTACAAACTAAATGGCTTAGCGAAAATGCCCACTTAAATCCTACAAACATACTCTAACTTATGTAAAGGCAGCGCAAAAATTGCGTACGGTATTATTAAATCAACTCTTTTCATGGCTTCTTTTTTCTTCAACATACTTTTTGGGCATCTTTTGGCATCTGAGTGCCTTCTGAAGAGACGGAACTACACGGGGCTGCACTTAACTTAATGACGGCCAGCACAAAGCACAGCAGAGAGCAGAGACGACAGCGAAGCTGCTTTTATTAATGAAATTAAAGAAGAAAGTCATTGAAATATGGCAAAAGCGTGCGAAAACCAAGCGAAGCGGAAGCTGCAGCAAGCCCAACCGAAAAAAAATAGTTGTTTTGACATGAACAACTCGACAAATATCAAAAATGTGATAAATCAATGCCCTTGGCTGGGGCTACGTACCGAAAATATCCGCAACTGCAGACGTCACACTGAGTCAGCCAAGTTGTCAGGCCTAGGGAGACAGAGAGAGAGAGAGAGGGGGGGTGCACTTAGATAAATCGGTTTTACCCCGTGGCCAAGCTAATGCCGGCCACCGAAGGCTGTCACGCACCAGGTTAAGTGGGGCCCATAGTAATGTGCGTTGACTGAACTTTATGAATCAAGCGGGCGCATCAGGCAAGTGGTGCGGTTGTGCGTGCAGTGGCATTCAGCGCATGAATGAGTGGAGGACGCACCCTAAGAGCAGAGATGGGCTTTTGTTGGACTTTTCTAACACGCAGCGAACAGGAACATGAAACATGAACTCGAAAATCAACACGACACAATCATGAAAATATTTGAGCTGTCAATGGAGTTTGAACCGAACTGGTTCAAACTTGAAAAATAAATTTTTTTTACTACGAACAGAGCCTGAACCTAATCACAAAACAAAAGATCCCGAACCTGAACCGAACTCTATAAAGCCCCAGTTTAGTTTTTTTAATATTGTAAAAATATTGTTGCAACTTTTTAAATTTTCTAACAAAGCACACAAAAAAGTCTTTAGTCTCATTGAATAAGGACAATTATTCGATTTCAACAAAATCAAATGTGTTAATATATTTCAGGCAATTATTTTATTTAAAAACTAATTCGAACCTGGGCTAATAAAATATGAAATCCAGGTTTTCGCGCCGAACCCAAAGACGAGGCCTTTCTGTGAGCCAAGAACTAAACCACTTATCAATTTTTTGGGCTTGCAGCCATAATGTTTAATTAATTTTTTATTTGTCTGTTTTTAATTATAATGTTTTCTTTTTAATTTTTTTAATTTAAATAATAGTACAATTATTATTTGTTCATTATTGTTTGTTTGTTTTTTGTTTTGTCTTTTGTTATTATTGCTCTAATTATTATTAAATTCATTATTGTTAATATTAATTATTTGTTTTAATATAAATAATATGATTGCTACTACTATTATTATTACTATTATTATAATTATTATTTATATTAAAATTAAAATATATTAAAATAATAATTAATTTTATTGTTATTATTTTTATTTATATTATTATTATTATTTTTATTGTTGTTATAATTATAATTACTTTAATAAAGTGTTTTTATTATTATTAAATGTATAGTTAATATTTATAAACAATCTAATTGCTCACTTTTTAAGTAACATTGGCTACTAAAGGTTTCTACCTACACGTCCCTGGGATTCGAGCCGGGATTCTCGTCTCTGTTGAATGTGTCAACGACCTCAGATATAGAATATAAGATATATTTATTATAAGGAAGTTTTCTGCGATCCGAAAGAATACTTTACTCAACTCTTAATTATCATAAATTTACTTATATTTACCTAAATAATATTTTTTTAAATTTGTTATCTATGTATACATATTTGATGCCTATAAATGTCTAAAATAATAGAAACTTTTGCTGATTTTTATTTTTATAAAAATATTTAACTCATGTCCAACTATGCTTATTCCAAACTACACCTTTAATGTACAAAAAGAGAAAACCTTTTCCTTTCTAATTTAATTTTTGAGAAAATAAAACGTTTTCTAGACCTTCGCTTTTTATCAAAACTAATTAATATTGCTTCAATTTGATTTTTAAACCTATATCCTCTAACTGATATGTTAAGTAGTTGTCACGCTTGCAAATGGTGTTCGTGTTGTGTCGTGCGTGTTCGTGTCTTGAAAGAAAACACGAGACGCGCTCAACGCTGTGTCTGACTTCGAAAATTCCCAAAACGAAAAGCTGCCCAAAAAAACAGAAACAAATTTCAATGCTGTGAATTTTTCTCGAAATTCGTATCCAACATGTTGGATCGAACCTGAGCCACCGGCAGAGCCACGAGCAGAGCACCACCGTATCGAGCGGCCACTAAGAGCCGTGGTGTTGCGCCTCCAACGACTCAAATGAGCTGCGTTCGCCGTTGAAGTCGCACGCGAATTTAAATTGCCAGTCGCTATATAAAAAGTACGTTACGAGAGAGTTATTTTTGCGCCATAGAAATTCAAAGTGAAAATCAAATTTAGCCAACAGCACGACGCGTGCATCTGTGTGTGTGAGTGAAATTGTGAAAATCGCAAATTAAAGCCCAACGCCTAAAAAAAAGTAAAAAAGCGAAGCGCATACCAAAGCCAAGTGCACTTGGATTAAAGCACAAGATCGAGACAAGATATATACACATAGATATATTTACTGGACATAATTTCACTTTTTATTGGATTAGCTGCACTCTGATTGGACCACAGTTGAACAGGTTTGTTGAGCAATTCCCCCCCCCCCCCCCCCCCCCCCGACTTCCCCCTCTTAATGCGTTTAAAACTGAAATCGAAACTGGGATTTATTTTTATGTGACACTCGTAAACATGTCCAAAGCTGTCGCCCATCTTGAAGCCATAGTTCAATCCATATATTCAAAATGATCTCTTAGCTTAGTTTCGTGCCCAAGGTAACCTCTTGGCATTTTGCTAGTCTCAATCGAAACACGTTGTGTGTATTTCTTATATTAGCCAAACATAACAAATACGCATTTGAATTTAAGTTAAATATTTTGCGAGAGTAGTTTAAGCGGTGCGACAAAATGTGTTAGGGAAAGATATTTATAAAAATAAAGTTAAATTTTGGTATCTTAAAACTTTTTTATTTTTATTTTGAGACAGATTCAACATTTATTTTTTATAGTGCAAATAATAGAGAAATAATGATTACATTTAAAAATGGATAATAATATATATATTTATTACTTTAGACAACTTCTTTTTAAATATTAAATAAATAGTTGATTTATCACAGAGAAGTTATCTTCGTTCGATTGAAAAAATACTTAACCTTACTTTTACTCAAATTTAACTTCTTAAAATTACAAAAATTGTTAGAATTCAACATTTTCTCTTTTTATTTTACCTAAATCATAATTATAGAAATTTAATTTCTATGATATGTAAAATTGTCTACAATTTTCAAACCTTTTATAAAAACTACATTCAAAGAATATTTTTTTCAAATTTCAAAAATATTCAAAATTTCAGAAAAATAAAATATATATATGTATATTCATATTTTTTTAAACGTAAATTTTTTTTTAATTTTTGGAATTATTAAATTTATTTTAATATTTCCAAATTTTATAAAATTATAAAAAAATTATTAATTATTTTATTTTATTTTATTAATTATAAATATATAATTATTTTTCGAAATGGAAGATATTTTTTGAAAGAAAAATTGTTTATTAAGAAATGTTAATTTAATTTAATTTAATTAATTGATAGATACTAAAAATTTCAGAAAATGTTTTCTTCAAATTTTATCTTCTTCATTCATTTATTTTTTTCTAAACCAAAAATTTTTTTTAAAGATAATTATTTGCAATATGTAGAATTGTTAATTTATTTTTTTTTTTTAATTTGGAGAAAGTATTTTTTGCTGTGCATAGATTTTACAAAAATTGTATATTTTTTCCAATTTAATCGATGCACAACAAAAATTTGCCGGGTGACATCATAATTGAAGAAAATAAACACAAATAGGCTTATTACCCAATAATAAAAAACAAACATTGTAAATGGGCGCAGCGCTGGGCAGCCAGTTGAGAGTCAAGAGAGCGATACGGGCAATTTCAACTGTGCCCCAAAAACAAAACAAAAAATAAAATAGAAATAAACTAAAAGCAAAACCCGACTTTAACTGCGCAAAAGCCCAGCAAAGCGCCGTTAGGCCGTGGAAGACTTGGAACTTGGAACATTTCGCAAGTGAGTGCACACGCAATAATAACTGTAGCAGAAAACTGTGCAAAAAATAAAAAAAAATAAAAAACTAACGAAAAGCGCCGAAAAATCAAGACATGAGTCAGCTTTGTAGAGCGCTCAAAACTGGCACAGCTTTAAAATACTCAAAGTCTTGCCTAAAGTCTGGGCTCTGAGACTTGGGTTTATGGACAGCTCAATGGCATTGCTGTCAATGTTTAGTCAATGGGCTCTGGAGATTCTGTCTGGGCAGCCCACACGCCCGCCCGACATGTGCCTGACCTCATTTCACCAATCGTTAAACTTTACACTCTACTAACTGTCACACGCTTTGGGCCAGGCCAAGCATATCAAGGCAGCTAATGTGACAGGGTCAAAACGCTAACAGTGCCCGCCGCATGCGCAGCCGCACTTGCCAACAAACAATATTTCAATGACAAACAACAACGCTAATAGCCAGGTTTTTGTTTGCGTTCTTTTTTTTCGGCCCGACTTGCTTTTTGGCCAGGGTGAAATCTTTTTGGCCGCCTCAAGTTCAAGCAAAGAGTTTGCCACTGCTTTCCTGTAAACGGCGTGAAATTTGCTTTGCTGCAAAAGCCAGCGAAAATATTGCAGGTGAACTAGTGCCAACTGTGGCCTGGTTTGAGAAAACCTTGCAATATCTAAAAAACACAAACTAACAAGAAAAAACTGTTGTCTTTGAAGTGCCACAGCTTAGATACCCTTGCAGAGATAAATGGATTTTGCAGCATAATGTAACTTGTTATTGATAAATTTGGTTAAGATATCTTAAAAAATATAAAAGATAATTTATCTCAGATTCTTCCTGTGCAAACTATATGATATGGTTATTTGATATCGATGGAATTTTCTTCGTTTATAAGTAGCGTAACATAAGTCTGTATTGCTGAATTTTGTTAGTATATGATTTTATTTATTTGCGATTCTTCGTAGGCGAACTATATAATATAATTTCTAATATTAATAGAATTTTGCGCATATATTAAAAGCATATGGATCAGCGTATTTTTCAAATTTCCTCAAAATATATTAATAACCAAAGTTTTTTATTCGTAAACTTTGTTTTAACTGATAATTTCCATGGCAGTTATATGGTATAGTGATCCGATGCGCTCGTTTATGATATATGTTATGCGGGAAAAGTTCTGTAAAGTTTCATGTTTTCAATGGATACCTCCAGAGTCAGTTAAACGATTTAGCAATCCATTCCGATCGACTCCTCTGCCAGCTATAGAAGGACGACTCCCATCCAACTTTTATTAGATTCAAAAACTGAAAGCTAGTTTTCACAAACTTTGCAGACTCAGCTGCTTATACTGATCAACCATATATAGACTTTAACAGATATCTGCAGCTATGCGTCACATAAATAATGACCAAATTTGCGTACCCTCTGCAAGGGCATAAAAATATGTAAAGAGCCAGCGAAATGTCCACTAAAAGTTTGGTGTGCAGTTTTTTTTCTCGCTGGTTCCGTGTTGAACTTTGTTGTTGGTCGCGCCGCTTAGTGAAAAAGTTGTTGTCACTGTTATTGTTGCTTATGTTGTTGTTGTTATTGTTGTTGTAGTTGTTGCTGTTGTGGCGTATTTGCGGCATTTTAATGTACCAAACACTTTTCACCCGAGTAAGAAAAACCCAAAGCCAAACAAACAAAAGACTTAGTCAACGAACTCCATTTGATATTTGCCGTCTCTTGGATTTTTATTAGCCGATCAGCTGTTGGCCAGCTGCTTATAATTGGTGAAAATTCAACCTGGTGCGATTAAAGCTGGGCGACGACGTCGTTTTCAATGGACCGGAAAACGTACAAAAACAAGTAAAGAAGAAAAAAAAAAGTGAATTTCCACAGTGCTGGCAAAAAAATTGTGTACGCTGGCGGCAATTGTTGCTGCTGCTGCTGCCGCTGCTGCTTGGCAAAGTGAAAGCGCGGCAACGTCAGATTAATCACACGCCTTCAATGGTAGCAACAACAACAACAACAGCAACAACGCTAACAACAGCAACAGCTGCCAAATGTTATGAGAAGAGTCGAAAATGTGCAGACAATGGCTGCAGCCCGTGACCCGGACTGCACTCGTAACCTATCGCTGCATGCTTCCGCCTAGCCTATTGCGCAAGCGGCGAGCATCTAAATTATGCAGCTCAAATGTATATTAATCTTGAATTCTTTAACCACAAACAAAATAAAAAAGTTATGTGCTTATATATGAACAAAAAGTGAGCATTGACTAGTGAAAGTATTTGTATGCATATTTGTTTTTTCAATATTAATTTGAATTTCTCATTTCTCATGCCCGGTTTCGGTCTCATAAGCGCAGCGCCAGCGTGTGACGTCAAACGTGACAAAGCCTCGCGCTGGCCACACAACATTACGCACACACAAACACACACCCATACACACACCCGTACTCATTGTGAACTCTCTTTTGCAGCTGCTGCCACAAAACAGGAAATCTGCTTTGTTTTTAATTTTTTTTTGGCTTTTTGGCAACTTTTTTGAATGCCTGCGCCTCAACATGGCACCGCATTGTGAACAACGCTGGCTGAAACTCTTCTCGGGCTGCCTGCTGCCACTGCTGCTGTTGCTGCTCGTGCTGCAAGCTGCGGACGCCAAGCGCTCAAATGGTAAGTAGAACGCCAATATGGGCGTGGCCAGGATAAGGGCCTGCCACACGCATCAGCTGCAGAGTCAATGACTTCTTGCAGTTGTTATATTTTCTTTTATTTGTACAGGGTATCATTATTTTGTCACAAAATGTGTAACGCTCTCAAAAGCTTTTTCGGAACTTTAGAAAATATTTTGTGAAAAATTTTTAACTTCAAAATTCGCTAAAAAATTAAATTTTATTAAAGAACTTTAATTGTTTATTAATATAAAACATATTTTAAAAAAATAATAACATTTCAAAATATATAATTTTATGATAATTTTCGAACTTAAAAAATCGCAATAAAATACAATTTTTTTAATTATTAGAAATTGTTATTATTCTAGCTGAAATATTTATTAAAATTATTTTATTTTATAGCGTTCTGCGAAAACTTAGCTTAGAAATGTTTGGAGTTCAGAAGGAGCCATCTCCGATCCCATAAAAATATACATAATATATATATGTATATATATATATATTTTGTTCTTAATCAGTCTGTCGATAAAAAGCATATCTGTTTATCTTAATTTTAAAGCTATCTTGAAGCCAATCTTCACAGAGATATACTACAAGAAAGTTCCCACAGGAACCAACGTCTGGACATTGATGTGTGGCTGAGTATAGAAATATGTCTGCTAGGGTATTTAATCGGCGGCCACCCAGAGGCCAATGTTCCTTTTTTGTATCATGTCTTTTTTATATTTTTGTTCTTGGCTTGTTTTGGGCCAGTCAATGAACCCCGGCGTTGTATGTGGAGCAAGTTAGTTGCCGCTCGCTCGTTAAAAGCCAATTGCAATTGCAAAATGCATGCGGCAATTAGCGTGTTGGTTAGTTCGTGTAGAACCCAGGCGCTAAATATATAGCACGGCATCATTAAAAAGCGCTTAGCCGGGCCAAAAGACTCACAGCACGAACTTGAAATAGCCCAAAAAGCCGTTACACACACACACACGCACGCACAGAGAGCAGAAACTATGACTGTGTCGCACAGTGTGTCAGTCGGTCATGTGGGCTACGATGCCTGTGTGTCCATAGTACGCCGTTCGACCCCCGAGGGGGGATCTGTTGTTGTCTATGCGGCTTTTGTTTTCGTTTTCGTTACGCTTTGAACGAAAGACTTAAGCGACAAACTTGATTTCGCTCTACAGCAAAGTAGAATAAATTGTTGCTGCTGCCATTATTATTTTCATTTAATTGGTTTTTGTTTTCATTCATGAAGCGAAAACTAAATTCCGACGCGAGACATTCGATCGAAATACCTAACCAAATCGTTGCCCAGCTTAATCAACACGAGGCGCTGCCAAAAAAAAAAAAAAATTAAAAAAAAAATACAGAAACTTTCATTTAATTTCGGGTGAAAAGAGCTAAAAATCAAGCAAAAAACACAAGCACATGGTAAAAATTCAGCAATTAACATAGCAGTGAAAATGCCAGCCGGATGTTTATATGACAATTAAACAACGTGCTTACATGATATCTAGAGAGCTGATAGGCAGAGGATTAGCTCTATAGGAAGAAAGCCAAAAAGCCGATAATCAAATAAAAGGGTATTCATAGCCTTATCAATACATCATTAGCTAAATTCATTATGTCTACGATATTCATCCGCTTTGCTGGGACCGATCGGATGAAAATTAAGCCTTTCATCCTTTGTATTCTATCGAGTAGGCGTGGATTTCTCGAAAAATGTGAAACATTCTCAAATACATTTTACCAAGATTTTTGAAAATGAGCTTAGGGCCAACCGAATGATAAGCAAAAAAGTTTCTTAGAAAGATTTCATCAAAAATTTGCCACAATTGCGAATGGAGTTTTTACTTACTTCACAAAGGTAACTAAAATTTCAGCTACGTAACTCCTATGATTTTTTATCAGTAATTCAGGAACAATAATAGGAATATGATAATAAAAAGTAAGCTAAACCTATTATACGTTGCTATAGAAAGATAAGAATTTAGAATCTCATAAAATAACAGGCATTTATTAAATTTTAAATAAGTATTTGGCGGGCAAGTTAATAAAATATTATATTCACTTTTCTGGCTAGGCTTATCTTAGAGGCCTTTAAGAGGTTAGAAATTATCTCATCAAAGTAGCTCTTTCTTTACAGAATTATCTCATGAATTTAATACAGTATTAATATACTCATTTAGATAATAATAGGGTATTATAAGCTTTGTATTACAGCCTTGAACAAGCCTGTATGTTGGGTTATAGAGATTGTAGATTGGGTGACATTAATTAGTCTATACCTATAGCTCGCTCGGCTCACTATGATGCCTGGAATATAAGCATCCTAAAAGTGTCTCATTGTATTCGTTGGCGCTGAGCTTGATCTGAAGCTGAAGAAAAGCTTTCTTCATTGTGACAGTTGCTCTGTAGTTGACTTGAGATCTACAAATGGAACAGCACGGCTAAGACAAACTTTAACGTTAAGTTCCACTCATGGAGCATTTCTTTATGCCATAGATCAAAATTTGATCGAATAAGCTTCCCTTTATGCCTTTGTTTTTTTACCGAGAACTTTCAAAGCGCTGATTGGGCAGGCAGCTATATATGGCTCTGGCAGATGCCCTGGCCCGCAAGGGCCATCGATTGGTCACAGCTTATGCCAACTATTAGTTCAATTGCGATTGCATCGCTGAATGCATGGCGAATGCATGGTGAATGCATTACGTGGGCTGTCCAAATGCAATGACCGAAACTCAGTAAGCGCGTCGTCGACTTTTACGAAATCCCAAAAGGCAACGTTGCGTGCAGGAAACAGCGGTGGAGGAGGGAAGAGTTGATTAGTTAAGAGTTAAGAGCTGTGTGATGTGCCACAATTACATAAGCATCGAACGGGCATTAGACAATGACTATGCCTTATGTAGAATGCTCAAAGCGAAGCATCCGCTGGCTGGCGTTAATGGTTCAGGCCATTTCGGTAAATTGCGCATACGCCGCTTTGGCCAAGAGACGCACACACGCGCGCTCGCCATGCGCATACAAAGCACTCAATGTTGGCCCTGAGACAACTGACAACGATTTAAACAACGACAGCAACAACAAGCTACAATTTAAGTAGCCAAATGACGCAGGCAGCTGCCATTTATAAAAAAATTTTTATTTCAATTTGTTGCTGTTGCTCGCGTTTGTTGAAATACCCTGTGCCAATTAAAAATTAATGTAACAGGCATGAATCATCCCTTATATACTATGTATATATATATATATATATTCATAATCTAGTCTTGCCTATTGGTATGGAAACGTTGTACTTATGGACTAAAGAACTAAAAGGTATCAAACCCGTATACCATATTTATTATAAAAAATATGAATAACCTCCCAACTTCCACTAAATCGATAGATATCGATTTTTAGCCCTAGTTAGGGACACCATTTTGGCATACAGATTGCATGGCGTTTCGCATACGCAGAAAAAGCTTACTTAATTTTTTTTCTCATCTTCATTTCATTCGATTTTCAGCATCGATTTTTCTTTACTCGGATATTTAAACATTTAGAACACAAAATTGGGCATATAAATAAATTTATGCAAATTAAATGTATATGCTCTTTCATTATATCCACACGTTTGCTTCGATTTATTGAGCAATTCTCGAGGATTTTATGATCTAATTCATCAAACCAAATTCGGCATGAAAATAATCGATTTGTTGAGCATACTTCGAAGATTTGGGGAGCTTGAGTCATCATCTTAGGCAAGTAGATCATCGTATACTCTATCTAGACGAAATGTATTAAAAGTGCTTGACACCGATAAATATTGATATTCAGCTACGTTTGATTAAACATATCCCGAAGGCTCTAAGAGCTACAAACACCAACTTTTGAATGTAGATCTGGTATAGTATAGGTAAACGAAGCCTATTTCTCTTGGATAATCAGGACCACTACGCCGACAATCATAAAATCAAGAGGAACCTTGATTATTACTAAAGCATGAACTATTCAAAGTGTGGGCCTCAGGTTAGAAACAGCTGTTGTGTAAAATGTGTTTGTGTATGTAATATTTGAATAGGTGTGAATGAATGTTAGGGTATCTCCTAGTTGGTCACATACGACTAGAGCACTCTCACTAGCTTATGGCTGTTGTTATTTCAGTCAATATGATCGCATCACGTTCGCAAAAAGTGAAACTGACGTCGCGGCTGGGTTTTTTTTTGCTGCAGTTGAATAACACGAAAGTGTGCCAAACGCCTCCACTGACTCACACTCCCCCGACCTCTGTTTCTCCACACTTGCAGCCAATTTAACTGCCTGTCAGCATTTGCGACGCGCGGAAACGAGACGCGCCAAGGCGCTGCAGCCCGTTGGAGCCGGAGCCGGATCCGGAGGAGTCGCAACTGTGCGCATACCGCGCTGCCGGAAGAGCGGTGAATTCGAGAACATACAGTGCGCTAATGAACGGGCTGGCAAGGATTGCTGGTGCATCGATGAGTACGGCGTGGAGCTGCCGGGCAGCCGGAATGCAACACGTGCGGGCGTGCAGTGCCGTGAGCCGGCACATTGTGCGGCCTCCGCCTGTCGCATGTTCTGCCCGTCGGGCTTTGCGCGCGATGCCCAAACGGGCTGCTCGGTGTGCCGCTGCCGTGATCCCTGCGATGGCCTGGAGTGCCCACATGGACAGACATGCCAGCTACAGGAGGTGCAGTGCATCACGGAGCCCTGCCCGCCGCTGCCCACTTGCAAGAAGGCGCGCTCGCTGGCCAACTACTGTCCCGCCGGCCTGCCGCTTGCCATTGAGGATAGCGTGCGGCCATTTTTGTGCGGCCTGGATGCCGGCAAGCCGCAGTGCCCGCCGCTCTACCAGTGCATGGTGGAGTCGGGCAACGACTATGGTGTTTGCTGTCCCAGCGCCTTGACCTTTCAAAAGCCGGGCGTGTGTCCGGCGCCCGAGCAGTCGGTCTATACGGAACGCACCGGTTACATGTGCGGCGCACCCTGCAGCCACGATCTGGAGTGCCGCAACCAAGAGAAGTGCTGCTTCACCAAGGGCTGCCAATTCAATTGTCAGCAGCCGCACAATATGACCGGCTGCCATCAGGCCAAGGCCCTGGCCGATGTGCTGGCCCTGAACGAGCGCGAGGGACGCGGTTATGTGCCCGAATGCAACGGGCCCGGCGGCCAATACTCGCCCAGGCAGTGCAGCCGCAACGGGCTCGTCTGCTGGTGCGTGGATCCGCGCACCGGGCACAAGATCAAGGAGTCCATGGGTGCGGCCAATAGCGTCAACTGTGAGGGTTGGGAGAACATGATCAGTCGCTCCTATGCGCGCAGCTTCCAGATGGAGCAATGCGACACAAACATCTGCGCCGCCGTCTGCGAATATGGATTCAAGGTAAGATTGAATGAAGCAACTACCAGAGCAGACCAGATTTTGATAGTTATCCGTATTTTACAGAACGACCACAATGGGTGTCCCACCTGCGAGTGCTCTGAGCCCTGTGAGGGCTTCAAGTGTGCCCTGGGCTCACACTGTGAGGTGGCCACGGATCCATTGTGCGAATCGGGCTCCACTCTGTGTGCCTCTTGGCCCGTTTGCAAGCCGGATCTAGCCTATTCCAATCCCTGTGACATAGGCACACCGCTCTCGGACACGGTCAGCGGTGAGGTCATGTATTGCTTTGAGGAGCGACAGGCGCGCAGCTTTCAGCCAACTGCCTTCTTCGAGCCTGAGGCAGAGTCCAAGCAGGGCCGCTCCATGAGCAACCGCATCATGTGCCCCGAGCAGTACAAGTGCACCAAGCTGCACCGCGAGGCAGAGAGCGTCTGCTGCCCACTGCCTGAACAGACCACAGCTACCGAAGATGAGCAAACGACGAGGCAGCAAACCAGTAAGTCCCAATTGGAATAAATAGTTTCTTAATTATGATCAATCAGTCCGTTGAGCTATCAGTCAAGCAATCAGTCTGTCCGTCAATCAGTCAGTCAAGCAATCAGCCCGTCAAACAATCAGTCAGTCAAGGATTCCGGAAATCAGACAACAATGAGTTAGACAATCAGCCAGTCAATCAACAGGTCAGTCGCCTGTCTGTCAAGCAGTCAGTCAATCAGAGAATCAATCGGTCAGTCAGTTATCTAATCAGTAGGTCAATCGATGAGTCAGGCAAGAGAGAGAGACAGTCAATAAGTCAGTCACTTTGTAAGTCAGTGCATTTTTTATTCAATCAGTCAGCCAGTCCGTCTGTCAGTCAGTCGATCAATCTGTCCATCAATCAGTCAGTTAATCAGTCAGAGAGTCAAACAGTCAGTCAATTTAGCTTCCCATCTGTCTATTTGTCGACAATCAATCAGTCTGTCAATCCATCAGTCAGTCAGCTGGCCCGACAATCATTCTGCGAGTCAATCAATTTACTGTATGTTTTTTGATTTCTATTATTTCTCATGCAGTGTGCGAATATCTGCGCGATTTCTCGGAGCGAATGGAAGGCACCGAGGCGGGCATGCAGCTGGCAATGTCGGCGCCACGCTGCACGGACGAGGGTGACTATGCGGGCCGGCAGTGTGAGCTGCGCAAGATAAGCGTAACTCGGGCCGAACAGCGCCAAATTCTGGAGGAGAATACCATAAGGCGCATGCGCATGCTGCTGGCCGGTGCAGCTGCTGCAGGTGCGAAACGCAGTCGACGCAATGCGGAACGGCTGAAACTCTACCGTGTGAACGACAGCGCGCTGAAGGTGCATGTCGCGGGCGCTGTGGAGCCGGCGCAGGCAATGGGCCGGAGCGCCAAGGTGATCGATATGGGCGCCGAACGGCAGCAGCAACAGCTATTCGGCACGGACATTAAGAAGGTGGCGCCGGCGCCGAAGCGACCCAGTGCCGAGGACGAACTGGTTGAGATGGAGGTGGAGCAATGCTGGTGCGTGGACAGCTTTGGCACGGAGATACCCAAATCGCGTGGCTACAATGTCAGCGACGAGAGCTGCCAGCAGCTGCGCGTGGAACTGGACTGCCTGGATCTGACCTGTCGCATGGGCTGCGAATATGGCTTTGCCCTGGATCCGGACACCCGCTGCCCGGCCTGCCAGTGCCGTGATCCCTGCGAGGGTGTCAGCTGCGGAGAGGGCAAGGAGTGCCGCATTGTGGATGTCAGTTGCGAGGGCGAGTACTGCCCGCCAGTGCCCGCGTGTTTGCCACGCAAGCCCGGCCAGTGCCCCTTTCTGGTGCCACCGGGGCCGACGGATAATCTGGATGCGAACATCTGCGCCTACGAGTGCCGCACGGATGCCCACTGTGAGGGCACACGTCGCTGCTGCTCGAATGGCTGCGGCACGCAGTGCGTGGAGCCACAGCTGAAGACCGCCTGCCAGCATCTGCAGGCCATACAGCTGCATCAGAGCTCCGAGCTGGGCATACCCGCACGCCAGATGACGGTGGCCCAATGTGATTCGATTACGGGCAAATGGGAGCAGGTGCAGTGCTCATCCGATGGCTATTGCTGGTGTGTAAATGCACAGGGTGAACAGCTGCCGGGCACCAGAGTCAAGACGCCGGAGACGCCCATTTGCCGCGCCAACTCCAGCTACGCCTGCAGTCCGATGAAGTGCGCCAACAGCTGCGAGAGCGGCTACCAAGTGGATGCCCATGGTTGTCCCAGCTGCGAGTGCCGCAATTATTGCGCCGAGGTGAGCTGTGCCAGCGACGAGGAGTGCCAGCTAATCAGCGTGGAGTGCGTGGACACGCCCTGCCCTAAGATGCCCATCTGTGTGCCGCGACGCGCCTCCGTCTGTGCCGAGGGAAAGCCCCTGCAGCAGGGCGAACTGGATGTCAGCTGTGGCCCGCACAGCGAGCAGGAAAGCTGCCCGACCACGCACACCTGCCAGCTGAATCCGGTCAGCAATCGTGGCGTATGCTGCTCCAAGACGCGCGATGTCTGCTTCGAGTCCATGGATCCCCTGTGCCTGGCCAGCAACCAGAGCGTGCGCAATGCCACACGCTATCGCTTCAGTCCCAAGGCCAACAAATGCGTGCCTCTGACCATAGATGCAACGTCAACGGCCTGCCAGACCAAGAATCTGTTCCACAACGAGCTGGCCTGCAATTCCGTGTGTCCAGGTGAGTGCAGCATACACTTTTTTGTTTGTTGACTAAGCTTATACCCCACCTTTTCCTTGCCCTACCACGCAGTGCTCACCCAGTGCGAACGGCTGAAACTGAAGAACAGCCTGGCTGCGCAGCGCAGCGGCCACTCCTCCGTCTGGTTCCAGCCACGCTGTGATCCCATCACCGGCCACTGGATGCCCGTGCAGTGTCTGGGCAAGCAGCCGGCGCTGCCAGCACACCACACCGAGATTGTGAGTCGCGCCTTTGCCAGCAGCAGCAGCATCAGCAGCTCGGAGCAGACGCCGCCCAGCCCGTATGGCGTCTGCTGGTGTGCGGATCGCAAGGGAGCACCACTCAAGGGCACACTAACGCGCGATATTGAGCCCACCTGCAACAGTCGACAGGCGCGCAATCGCAAGAATCTGGAACTGGGTGATCCGTTGATGGAGCAGCTGATAGCGCAGCTGACGCAGCTGAACGACGTGGACAGCTTGGGCTTGGATCTAGATGAAGTGGAGGCCAAGCTGGCTCAGCCCATTACAGCAATACCCGCTGAAAGCGTCAGCGAGCGCGTCATGGAGCTGACCAATTCGCTGCTGGACTCCCAGCTCTCCGTGGAGGTCGCGCCCATGCAGCTGAATACGACACGCTGTCGCGCTCTCGCCGCCACCGCCACATTTAACGTTAGCTGCGACGAGGCGGGCGCCTTTCGTCCGCTCCAATGCAATGGACGCAGCTGCTGGTGCGTCGATGCCGCCGGCAATCAGCTGCAGGCATCACATGTCTTCGGCCAGGGCGACAAACGCTGCGATCCGGTGCCCATCGAGGCGGTCTCCATTGAGCTGCACATGACCAACACCAGCGGCGGCGGCGACGGCAGTGTGCGCAATGTCTACGATTCCATACGGCGTGAGCTGCAGCAGCTGCTCGGCTCCGTTGTCGAGAACCTGCGCGTCCAGGAGAACTTTGACGGGTCGGTCATTGTGCGCTTCGAGCTACACAACGAGGCCAAGGTGGACATGGCCTTTGGCATTGAGACGGCCATACAGGCCGGCGGCTTTCATCTGGTTGGCGGTCGATTCCGTCCGGATTTGACGCGGTCGCATTTCATCTATCGTACCGCTGTGCCTTCCGTGGCGCAGGCACGAGCCACCGCACCCGATGAATCCGTGCAGCTGGCCATGTTCGTAATGGCTAGTTGCTCGGCGTTCCTCGTCAGCGTCTTTGTCGTCTATGTGATGCTCAAGCGGGGCTGGCACAAGACGGGCGCACTACACAAAAATGCCTACGACTATCCGAAGGGCGTGGCCGGCAGCTGTGAGAAGCCGCTGGACTTTTCGCTGCCCATTTTCGTGCTGGACGACACGCAGCCGGAGAGTATTAAGGCCGCCAAGGCGTAGTTGTGTTTAGTTTAGTGAAATCAATTTGTAAATAAATTTTTTGGCTAGACGCCGCTTGGCGCCGCCTCGAGTGGTGCATGCCCCACATCCGGAAAATGCTGAGAGATGGCGGGGCACTTATCATATATGTATGTACTTTCTAGACGCATTAAACGACTAATTTATGAATAAAGCTTTAAAAACGAACTAACTGGTTTTCACCCGTTCTACGAATATTGAAGTGAATTGTGCGAAAATATTTATTTGCATTTTTGAATTACTTCGCGATTTATTGTCCGATCTAAACGAAATTTTCAAAGCATAAATATACAAATGTTTCTAAATACCAAAGCCTAAGAATATATTTTCAAAAATAAGTGGAAACTTGTTGAAATTTTCTAGATACTTATGTATACTACACGAGTCTCCAAACAAAATTTGGTGTCTTTAGCTCATATATGTAGGTTCTGAAATATGGTCAAAAACGAATATGGCCAAACCGATTTTTATCGATTTCGTGATTAATCGGGAGTGTTATCGATGATTTGAAATAAGGTAGATCTAATCGTGCCCTTGAAGAACCTGCGTTCAAAATTCCCAGTCTTTAACATCTGTAGTTTCCGAGATCGGTACGAATAGACAGACAAATATCTGATAAAGAATTTATATACTTTACAAAGTCGAAACGAGGCTTCCTTTTGCCTAAGCAAAAAGATTAAAAAATCCGGTTGCTTGGGCCTAGAGCTCGCCTACAAATCGTAGATATCGGTTTCTGCCTATTCCGCTTATATTCCGCCAAAGAAGGTGGGTTCATTTTTAACGATGAAACCTGTCTTAAATGATAAAAACTCTAGAATTTTATCTGAAAGCAGTCATAAACACCATCAAGTTTATTGCAATAGTATTCCGGCCATTTTCCAAGCTTCAGTCAAATCAATCGATCTTCCAATTAAACTCTAAACTATATGTATTCCTAATTCATCATTGTCTGAGGGAATAAAGATCACACTTGTCAGCAAACAATTTGATTTTAATATTTAATAATACGTTTACATACACCATTATGATGTGTTTCGATCGGTTGCGATCTGATTTGTAATCATTATAAATATGCATGCATTAATAACATTCATAAATTTTGGCTTCACTCTATCAATAAATCAATACAACATTTTATCAATGTTCTGTGTGTGTAAACTATATAGATATCTGTATTCGTATTGTATATATATATATATATATTTGTATAGTAGGCTATATGCTAAAACGGCGCTGGATCTTAAAGAGCAGACACCAAACGAACCGCTTAATATCTCAAAAAGAAACAATTTAAATGAAATCAAAAAATGATATACATATATAAGTATTTGTATGTAAGTTCTTTAGTGTATTTCCGAGAGACTTTCAGTAGAAAAAAATGCAATACTCATAGTTACAATTGGAAAAGGTTTTTCATTCTTTTTTGGCTTAGAAAATGCCATTGCTTATATGTACGTGTGAATGTTTGTTCAAGTTCGTATAGTTAAGATTTTGGCAAAGTATAATGAATGTATGTATTTTTAATCTATTGTTATTTGGACTATTTTGTACTTAATAACTAGCTACATGCAAGTCAAACATTAATATCTTTAAAATTTCGTGTTGTTTTTCTTTAGGTTTAAGAAGCATGCTTTTGAGAAAATGGCTAAATATCATAATTGTATACATATGTGTGCGTGCTAGATATAAGTATATAACTGAAATACAGTAAAAGCTCGCTTGAACGAAAAATAAATAAGTTTATTGTACAAATTGTATACGCATGCCTTTGTTTTTAATGATAATGAAATTACTTTAAATTATAATTTTTAAAACTTTTCCATTTTGGTTACCAGATTTCTAGCTGCCTTTTTCAATTTCTAAGACAAATTTTGGTGAAATTTGTATTGTAAAAGTTGCTTGTCCTCTTCAAGAAACGTTTTGGCACAAGAAAAATAAATAAAAAGAAAAGGTAAAAACTGGAACCAAAAAATTTGATTGGCCCAAGAAAATCTATGCCTCAAGGCAGTTCGTTAGCAGAGCTTTCACTGTATAACTATATATATATGTGTGTGTGTGATTTGTGTGTTGTACAAATGCATCCAAATGGAAGAGCGATGCGTTAAAAAAATATTTTTGGTTACTTGTTTAGTGGTTATAAATAAAATGTTCACGCAGAAATCTTACAACAAATGTGTTAGCCAATTGACCAAATGGCCCAAATGTGCGCAGACAAATGATAAAAAATTAAATGAAGAGAGCGAGCAGCAGCTGGCTAAATGGACAGCTCAATTGAATGCATCTACTTGGCAGCACCTGCTCCTCCCGCATTGTTATTGTTGTTGTTGTTGCGGGCATTTCGCTGCGCATTATTTAAACCTCCAAAGGGTATGGACGCGCGCTGATCCTCCATGCGACCGCTCTGCACTTTCATAATGAGCGAAAAGAAATCCTCATCCGGCACCGTGGTGCCGCGTGGTCCGGACTGTGCACGTGCGCCTGCGGCAGCCGCTGCAGCTGCGGGCGGCTGCATTTGTGGCGCCTCCGCATCCATGGTGACATGTGCGCGCGGCAACTCGGAGCGTTGCTCTTCCAGACGCGAGCCCTGGCAACGCATCAGCATGTCCAGAAATGCATCGTCCGGCTGTTGTGTGGTTGTGGCGCTGCGTGACAACGGCGCATGACCTATGGCCGGCTGCACGCCAGACGAGGGCGACTTCAGACCTGGCAAGTTGGTGGGATCCACAAACAGCGAGTTCTGTTGCACCAGCGGCTTGCGAGTGGCGCCTGTGGCAGCAGCAGCGACGGCGCCCGCGCTGTTTATTTTAATGGAGCAGCGCTGATCGTCCATGCGCTTGGACTGTGAACGTGAGAGCATCTCGAAGAAATCGTCCTCTTTGGCTTTTGTGTGTGCGGCACTGGCCGCCTTGTGCTTCTCTTCCTGCAAACGTTTACCATCTGGCGTAATTTTGATAAGGTCCAACTGTTCCATGCTCTGGCGACGCACGCGCACCTAAAACAAAAAACAAGCAGCAAATAATACAGGAGTCTTGAGAGTTTGAGGCACGTTTATTCACCATGCGTCCCTGGGAGCTCTCTGAGCCGTCCGATTGATGCCCGCTGGCCGAGTGCTCCGAAGCGCTTGAGCGCTCCTCATCCTGTGTGGGGGTATGGTCCGCCTCCGGCAGGCCCAGCAGCTTGCGTAAATCTGAAATGTTAACGCGTGCCGTGCTCTCACCCACCGGATCGCGCAGCTCCTTGGCCAGCTGCAGATGCGATTCGGCAAATTGTAGTGCTTTTTCGTTGTTGCCCATGGCCGAGTGGGCATTGCCCAGAGACCAGCAGGCGCGCGCCTCACCAATCCGATCGCCCAGCTCCTGTGCAATGGCCAAATGTCGATGATGGTACTCAATGGCCGTGGTGAACTCATGGAGCAGCGTGTAAGTATTGCCCAAACTATAGCAAGACTGGGCCTCCACCTCGCGCTCGCCCAGCTCCATGGCCAGCGCTAGCGTGCGCTTATAATGCTCAGCCGCATCTTCAAACTGGCCCAGAAAGATGTGCGAGTTGCCCAAATTGCTGTTGGCACGACGTTCCGCGGCGCGATCCCCGAACTCGCGTGCAATACGCAGGCGCTCTTGATGGTGCTCAATGGCTGCCTGCAAGTATGGAGAGCATGAGCGCTTGAGATGGATAGAAATCCAAGTCAACTTACCTGAAAGTCACCCAGCAGGTAGTAGGTGTTGCCTAGATTACCGCAGGCGCGTCCCTGAGCACCACGATCGCCCAGATCCCGCATAAGCTGAAGATTCTCCTGATAGAATTCAACGGCTTTGGCCAGCGCTTCCTTGACATCTTCACCGAACTTTCCCGGATTACGCTGGCCCAGATGCTTGCCCTTGGCATGATAGACATTGCCCAGATTGTAGAGTGCCCGACCCTCGGACAGGCGATCGCCCAACTGACGAGCAAGCGTCAGATGACGCTCACAGCAAATTGCCGCCTCGTCGAAGCGACCCATCACTTTAAGTGTATTGCCCAGATTGCCAGAGGATTTGGCCTCACCCAGCTTGTCGTTCATGGATTTGGCCAGCGTCAGATCGTGCTTGTGGTACTGCATGGCCTTGGCATAGTCACCCAAATAGAAATAGGCATTGCCTAGCTGCGAATAGATGGCGGATAGAGTGCGCAGATCGTCGGTGCCCGCCTGTATCGCTGCCTGGAAGAAGGCAACGCCCGCCCGACAATCACCCGCCTTGCACAGACGTTCGCCCTCCAAAGCCAACTCCAGGCACATGCTGGAACTGCCATCTGAGCCGTGATGCGAATTGGAATCGGGACCACCACCAATGCCCATTGTGGACACATTTTCTGCTGAGGCCGAGAGCGAGGACATGGCTTTGTTTTTCTTTAGCTTGGCTTAGCTTTACGTAAAAACCGTTTACTGGTGGCCAAAACGCACGCTAGACTTGACTGCGACGCACGCAGAGAGTTTTTGGCTCTATCTTTGCTGCTTTGCTGTTAATTACTTTAATAATTCACTTTTTTTACCGTTTTGCAAATCAATTGGGTTTCGTTAATTTCATTCTGATTCACTTTGCCAGTCGATTAATTGTAATCGAGTTAGGTGCTGCCATCTATCATACGAATTGTTATGTTGCCATATCCACGAAATTTAATTATAGCTGAAAACAGTAAAAGAGCATTATTTGTTATTACCTCCAAAGGCATTAGATAAAATTTATCATAGGTATACGCTAATTATTTTGTTATTTTCAAATGCGCTGAATTCTCACATATCGATAAGAAAGTCGACTAGTATATTTGAACGCATTAAACAACACTGCACGTCAGACTGAACGTACAGCGACCCCTTTAAAGATGGCGTCACTTTCTACTGTGTCTGTGAACAAACCAAGTTGCCGCTTGACAAAATTGAAATTTTTTGGCATAAAATATTACCACCGGCTGCACTAAATAGTCCCAAAGTGTAAATGAAAGTGCCAGGAATGATTTTCAATTGAAATTGTGGCAGTCGTGTGCGCCATTATCAGTGCAAATCATAAACAAAAAACAAAAAGTTGAGCCAAACGAAAAGCGCACTGTGAAAAAATGCGAATGTCGTCGTCGTCGCTGTCGCTGTCGTCGCCGCTTTGAGTGTACGTGCGCCGCGTTTTGCACGGCAGCTGCGCTGCTACCACAAATTAAAGGTGTGAATTTAATTTCAATAATTCGTGTGTATTAACATACATAAATTAATGCAGCAAAGGTATTGCCTGTCCAGACGACGTTGACAGGAATGTGCTAAATTACATAAATTTAAGTAAGTAAATAACTGTGCCCTGTGTTCAAATTCTGCGAGCGAGTGGGAGCAGCGAAAGAGCAAGAGATTACGCGCAGTAGCACACACTTACACGCTCAAACAAAAGTACGGGAGAGCGGAAAACAATCATTTGTGGTGAGTGTTGTTGTTGCCAGGATGGTATTTAAAAATTTTTAATAGCAGACCGGCTCAACTTTAACTGTTACTAATTTACTTGAATTGGAAACCCTAAATAGTGGCTTATTTAATGAGCTATATTAAGAGACGTACATGCTTGAGTGATTTTGGGAAAAGTTCTTATTTGTTTTTTTTCACTTATTATAAACGAAAGAAAATTGTTCTATACAGATGTTATTTCATTTCAAACTCACCACACCCATACTGGTGAGCACTTTGGAGCTCGCTCAGTATTTGAATACATGTGTGTGCATGTGTGTTCGTGTTAGTGATTCACAAAAGCAACAACCCCAACAAATTATCTCTACTACACATTTTTGCTACTTTTACTATACACCAACAACAACAGCAAGAACAACGCGATTGCAGCTGCTATCATCGCACGGTGCTTCAGCTGCTGCTGCTTCTTTCTCTTCACCTGTCGTCACCACCAGTGTTGCCGTATTGCACAAAAAAAATAAATAAAGAACTGATGTATCTGCCGCTTTTTACAGTTCTTTTCATTTTACTTTTATTTTTGTGCCTCTCTTCATTTGTCCAAGTGCTTTTTCTATTTCTTATGTCTTTGCTTTGGTCCCCGTTTCGTGCACTGAAAATACCGCGATGTGGGGCTCTCGAGCTTTAGGGGAGACACACACACGCACACGCTCCCAAATACATGCATACAGAAGCAGCAGCAGCAGAGAGCACAAACCGAAAAAACGGCTTTCTTTGTGCCGCAGCAGCGATGTCGCGACGTCGTTTTAGTTGCCGTACGTCGCTGTCGTCGTCGGTTGGGCGCAAGAAAACCGAGTGAGAATCCAAGAAGCATATTAAAATATATAAAAAAGCAGCTAAAAAGCTGAACATATTTTATATCAAAATCTACAACTAAATACAACTCTCTCAAGTGCGCAATAAATGTGTTAACTGTAGTTAAATGCATAAGTATGTGTGCACTAATGTACCTACATAATTACAAGTACAATACACACACACACACGCATTCATATGCACGTAAGGGACCGGCGGCAGTCATTGCTGGCAACAATTGAATTTCATTTGTGCTTTTAAAAATATTTGTACATATATATGTATGTGTATATATATTTTTTTTTCATTTTTCAAAGTATATTATTTTTAGAATATCGATTTTGTTGGCTGCCCGCAGCTTGCCAGAGCAGAGCAGTCAGCAGCAGCTACGTGAGTGTGTGTATGTGACTTAGTCTGTGCATGTGTGTCACAGGCAATAAAGAATGTGTTAAGATTATGAGCATAACTCATATAGACAAAACGTTACCTAACTGCCGTGCAAAAAATTTTAGTAAAAAATTTAAATCGAGTCTCTTTTACAATTCATTTTGCGATCAAAGCAACTGCTTGAAGTAGCTGCCTCTATATCTCTCTCTCCTTCTCTCTCTCCCTATGTCGTCCGCTGTCATTGCTGCTAGCATACGTCGTCATTCTTATTGGCATTTTTGTTCGTATTTGATTCTTATATTTCACCTACATTATTACCATACACTCACCAATACTAGCACACAAGCAGCGCGCACACATACACACATATGCACGCTCATAATTTGCGCTGTGTTTTGCTTTTCGCCTTTTGCTTTTAGCATCGCATTCGCTTTAACAAGATCTCTGCGACGACTGCCCTACGCCCACCCGTCACACCGTCAACGTCAACATCGTTGCCCACGTCGCTGTCGTCGTTTATAATTTACATGTGTTGTCCGCCCTCTCCCCTTTGACCACCACCAGCGAATACAAAAACACAAATACAATTGCGAAAAAGTGCAACTTTATCGCACGGGCGTAAAATTGAAAATTGTGTTTAACTGAGTAATAACAATATAGTTTTTTCAGTGCTGCGTCTTATATATTTTGCAAATAACTGATTTCAATAAAAAACCGCTGAGAAACTGAGGTATGCCAAATTATTTATTTATTTAATATGTATGAGAGCTGCACAGAGAATGGAACGGAAGTTGCCGCCCGCTATCCACTTGCCCACAGAGGGCGCTCCATTTTTGGGCCGTTTGTTCTATTTCCGTTGAATTCCAATTGGACTATACCGTCTGGCAACAAAGAACGGGTTCTAATTGACTGAGTGACGAACCTGCTCGCCCAATTAACAAGTTTCGATTGAGCTGTTACTCAAACGCAGCGCTGCCAGATCCACTCGAAATTAACACAATTGTGTGAAATATGCTTGAGATACACATATAACATACATGTACATATGCTTGCATATAAATACGTACGTAAATACACATACACATGCAAAGGTCACATTTGGTTATCAATTTATCGATGTGTCTACAGTATTTTTTATTATAATAATTCATATTGCCGCAATCGAAAATATAAAATTTGTATATGTCGTCACATTGAACGTGACTTTTACTCGCAGGCGCTGACATTAGCAATTGCAATTGCTTTTATTGCCTTGACGCAATCAATTTTGCAAAATAGAGATGACATCTAATTGATACTTTTCATTTGTGCTATCGATTGTTGTTACAAATTGAATATAGGTTTTAAACCTGTTTACAATAAATAAAAAAAAAAAAATTTAAAAATGCAATATATATGTATATACAAATATAAATTTTTACGCAATTCAATATCGAAATGTTCAACCGGCAGCTATCGATAGGTTTGGCTCAAATCGATTTTATTGCTAAACTCCGCCTTATTATTGCTTCTGGCCAATTAACTAATTACTGAAATCTATCAACGGCGCCTTACACTGACCAAATGAATTTATATCCTTGGATGCCAAAGTGTAGGCCTAAAAATGTGATAAAAACCGTTCCACATTCGCAGCGAAATGGTTTCTGTTTAAATCATCTGTAGATTTAATTATCATCAAATTACTGCAGACGACCTGTTTTTTTTTTTTAGTCTGAATGATTTTTCTTGTTTTTTCGCAGTTGTCTGGCTTTGCAGCTAAAGAGCGTGCTAAAAGCCAATTTGACATCAGCCAAAGCGTCCGTCTCTGTGGGCAACCTTTTCAACCTTTAAATGCATCTATATCTGGTTTCTTTTTATACCCTGTATAAATGTCGTCTGTACATATTCATGCATATATTTTCCTTTATGTAATATTATATATAAATTCTATCTTGAATAATCAATAACAGTAATTAGACGGATAAACTTAATAGCTTTAATTATATACTGATTGTTTGTAAGACTTTTCCCACTTTTTTTTTTTATAGCGTATCACGCAGTCTAAATATTTCCCCTGCAAAGTTATATTTAACTTGTTTGTATTTGTATTTTTTGTTTTGGGTAGCTGTTATCGTTTTCAATTCAATTTTTTTTTTTTGCTGTTTCCTTTTTAATTTTATTTTAGCACGTTATGCAGCAGTTGTTGTTATTGTTGATGTACCTGTCGTTGCTCACCCACATATAAAGCAACTCCCCAATTTTTGTGAACGACCCAAATCGCGAAGCAGCCTCCATTTCACGCTTGTTCATGTTGTTGTTTTTATGTTTACATTGAGATACATTTATACATACACGTACCTACGCATACTACATACAATGAGGCGCATATTTCTTTCAACTCCATTCGAGAAATAAGCAATTGAATCGCATATTTCGCTGCCCACACCGCCCCTTGATGATCCCACTCAGAAATGTAAACAAAAAGCTAAAAAAGAAAAGAAATATGCTCCACAAATTGCAGCTTCATACATATCTACAATCAATTGCATTGAGCTTTTCAATTTTCCAATGAAATAATATGCATCGCAATAAAATTTCAATCGGGCTTTTGTTTTCCTTTAAAATTGTTGTTAATATATTGGTTTGTTGTAAATAAAATTCTGTGAATTTATCAAATTAAATCGTATGATATTCAATATATTTTTTATTGAATACATTTAAAACCATTTGATTAAAAAATTAAATACGTAAATTTTTCAGCTGTACAAATACTCATACTAAATTCAGTCACTGATTATCGTAAATTGCTATTTGATTTGAATATGTTTAATTAGTTCTCTCGGTTCATTTGTTAATCACTTAGTGAGTTGTATTAATTTACATCTGGCAGCCATGACGTCATTTTAAAGAGTGAGAATTAAGCCGCAGCTCGTTATTTTTAGTCAGTTATTGCCTGGAAGTCGGTAATAGAGTTGTTTAAACTGAATATTGAATATTGCCCTTCTATGAAATTTTATTCTTAAGCATACTTTTGTATATGCTTATGGTTTTCTAGTGACCCCTATTAATCATAGTTATATTGTAAGAAATTTATCTTTTACTGCAAATATCGATTTCTTTGCGATTTTCATGAATTCTTCTGAGTGATATTGTTGCGATGGGTTTAGGCTTGTAATTTGGGAAAAATTTTTTATTAAACAAGTGTGTCAGTGTGTGTATATACCTATTTTTGCAATTATTGCAACTGCTTATAGGATAACTGCAAGTCGGGTACTTTTCCCTAATGCTATTAAACATGTAAAAAATCAGCTGTCAGACGGACATGCATAAGTGCCACGAAAAGCCATTAAACAAAACACACTCGCACACAAACTGACAAGCATTTTCTTTTCGCTATTATTAAATGCGGCAATTAATGACGTTTTTCCTGAGCGTGAGCGTTCCGCTATGATATAATTTTAGATGGGGAAAAACTTGAGCAGCAAATACGAACGAAATTTGGCAAATAAATTCGCTCATTTGGCCCAATATTCCATTTACCAATTTTGCCTGAAAAACTCAATTCAAGTGCAGTTAACTCGCGTATGTTTTTATTTTTGAATAGTTCTTCAATTTGCGCTTATTTTTAGAAATAATAATTTGAGTTTCTTCGGATGCCAGCTGCATGAAATCACGAGGCCTTGAATTTAAATATTAAAAAGAGAAAGAGAAACTGAGAGAGAAAGAGAGAGATAGAGAGAGGGGTAGCAAAAGTCAAGTGCATTTAATAATCACTTTTTTAATGAGGCTGGTCGGGATTT